TATTATAAAAAAAAATTGTATTTACTTATGAATACTTATAAATTATAATGATTGAATTTACAATGATTATACGTCTCTGATTAAAGATGGTAAATTTAACATAATTAATACATAATAGAGCTATGATTAAATATAGTTTATTGTTTTTATAAATAATCAAAACTACTTTGATTTTATTAAAAATTTCTGTGGTTTAAATAATTTTTAAAATTGAATTGAGGGAAAAATTTTTAATTTCCCTGTAGCCATCCTCGTCCAATTATAATTGTTGCAAAGGTAATACTACGTGCCTGTGCATTAATTTTACTGCGAGTGTATATAGATACACTAAAAGTGTGTAAAAATATGATCTAAACATATATTTCATATATTTCAGTATCTTCCAAGTGATATTTAATATTATTCTTATTTTCTTTGTTGACCTTATAGTAAATAGTTCAATATAATTCACTTACTCTTCCAGGCGCCATTATATTTTCATTTGATTTTAGCATCTTTTTTTAATAATAAGTATGCATTACAGTTTGTACTTTAGTAATAATTTATCATTACATTACTTTATTTATATGGCGTTGGTAACAATATATGTTATAATATGCAGTAATAAGTAATTAACAAATCATCAACTTTTTTGATTTTTACAATGATAACTGATAGTGAATAAAGGATACAAAATGTATTCAATAAATTACTCATAAATATTATTAAAATTTTACAATAATATTTACGATTTACATGGTTCAAGTTTTTACTAATAATTAATATACTATTTTTGATATACTATGAAAAAAAACTTATATTTTAAAAGCAATAAAATCACGAATTGCCGGTTATTTCATTAACTATAAGGTACAGTATATGCAAATTTCTAAAAAAACAATATATTCATATAAGCTACAACTTCAGACTTGAACAAATAGCAATTTTTATTTTATATATATAATATTCAGAGTATGTTTAACGTTTGCGCAGTTTATATATATATATATATATATATTTTACAATTTTACGTTTCAATCCCTTAATTTAGTTGTTTTTTTTTTATTTCCATTGTTTCAAAAGTTACAAATATTTTTCGCATGACATGTAAATAGATATTGAAATATTCTAGTTAAAATATTACTTTTTTTTTCTTTTTAAGATCCTCATTTTTTTTAAACTCAGATAACGATTTTATGGTGGAAATTTTGAGACTGACAATACATTTATTTTTTGTCTGATGTTTTTATTCGAACTCATTTCAATCTGATTCTGGAAATCATTCGTAACTTTTATAAAATACAAATATTATATTAAAATTTGATATAGCACTTTAAATTGGAAATTGACAATAAATATAAAATCGTAAATAAAGTACTACAAGTCACAATGTGCATATGCTATTTCAATTTAGATTAAAATTGAGCCATATATAATCAATTTATAGGTTAATAACTGAAAATATTGTGAATAGTTTATTTTTATAATTATCTTGATTTTAAGTTCAGTTTATGCTATAGAAAAATACAATTAAAAGTATATTTTGGGTCAAAGCTACTTATTTTTGTGTTCATTTAAAAAAAAAAATACCATTCCTATTTTGTATTATTTCCTATGTCAAATATTATGGTATCAACATATAATTTTTATTAAAACGTAATATTATGCTCAAAAGTATGAATGGACAGACTGATATTCACAGTATTAACGAATATTTTATTTAATGAAAACAGTTTTAAACATAAGAAATGCATATGAGGTAAATAACAACTGTTCTCATTAAGCAAGCACTTTTATTAATATGTATAGAAAGTACTACTTATTAAATTATATAAATTTATAACAATTAAGTTATTTATTCTATATTTTTTTAATGTAAAATCGTAATATTAAAAACGTGATATAAGTTTAAAGTTTAATAATGTTATCTAATTAATTTTATTTTATGTAATCAACTTTTACTAAAGAATTTATTTAAATAATTAATAAACTTGAAATATTATACATAACTTTTATTTATATACTTATCTAGAAATATCTAAGATTAATTAAATTTGTTTTTGACGTTTTCGTATTTAACTAATTAATAACTTGATGTTCTATTAAAACAAAAAGTTCACAAACATTTCTAAAAATAAGACATCAAAAAACAATTTTTTTCTTTTAGAAATTAGAAAAATAGTTCTGTATAAAATTTATGTTAAAACATAGAAATCATTTTTTTTTGAAGAAGAAGAAGAAGAAAAAGAAATGGAAGTTATGACATGTTACCTTTCTATATAATATATTCAACAATTTTAAAATACTGAATCAGAAAAAAAAGGTTTGTATTTATTTTTAAATTCTTAATAGATATGTATAATAGACAACAGTTGGCATATACTATATTGACAGGAATAATATTACAATATCAAAATTAATGAATATATTTCATTAACTTTGGGTACATATTTAATCTGTGATGTATAGATTTTTCTTGAATTTAAAATTAAAATAGTAAAATTTTTATAAAACATTAATTTAGAGTACAAAACATCATCCGAATAAACAATAAGTTTGATGTTTCTTTTACGAATATAATATTCAAATTTCTATAAATAATTATACTAGAAAAAAATCTGTATTTAATGTTTAAAACAATAACTCAGCAAACAAGAGTATAATATGGTACTATTTTCAGTCTGGTCGAATAATTTTAATCCATCTTTCTTCCAAAAAGTTCTTACGAATCGTATTGGTTCTATTTATTTTAAGAAAATGTAATATTTTAGAACTATACTTATAATCACATTTTTTATATACAAGTTTCTTTTAAAGCAATAATGATGTTTGAATAATACCGCATTAAATGAGAAATAAGAATTCAGCACTAAGCGAATACATAGTACACCCACTACCATAGGATATTACAAATATAATGTACGGAAACTTAGCTTTTTACTTTTGTAATAAATCTAAGTAAAGATTCGAATATAATAATAATTTAATTTTACTGTTTCACTCATAGAATGTTGAAACAAAAAATTTAACTAAGGAATTTATATCAAGTATTACGTTATATTGTAAAACGTAATTTGTAAAATTTTAAAATGTTAGATTGATTAACTGTTTCTAAAGCTATCTGAATAGGTACATTAGAGGATGATTTATTTTCATTATTTATTATTTTCTTGAAAAAAATAATAAAGTTCTAGAGTGTTTGAGTGTTAGATAGTAATGCAAGAAGTAAATAAGCATAATGCAGTGAAATAACGAAAAAAAGGAAGACAGCAAAATAAAAGAGAAAAAGTTTTCATCTTTTGCGCTAACGATTTTATGTATACAATAAACATATACGACTACATTTACTGCCGACCGATATGAATTAATTTGATATGATAATACCTATGTTCTATAAATATATAAATATACCGTTGTTAAATTGATTATACAATAAGTTTAAGCTATAAACAGATTTTTATTCCATTTCCAACTTCTGTTACGATAATAATGTAAGTATTAGTTACCACGAGTAAACAAACTCTTATATATATATTTAAGTACTTAAATATTAATAAGGTTATACTTGATAGAATACGTTATTTACTCTTAAATACTGAAGACAAATCGTTTGTTTCAATAGGCACCTAATAAATACTAATTATTATGTGCATACTATAAACCTTCGTATAATGTTATTTTATATTATTTACGTAGAACATATTTGAATTCATTATAACAGTTAAAAATATTTGTATTTATTATTTCTTATTATTTCTAAGCAATTTACAAAATAAAATAATTTAATAGTAACGCCGTATCTGTTAAAAAATCCCATTTAGAGCAGATTGCTCCAGATGGCTTTTTTGCTCTTTCCATGTATTATTATATGAATATATTATTATGGCATATAGAAAAAAAATAGTTGTTCTACTACTATTATTATTATTATAATGTCTAAATATTATCATGAAATAAGAACATTTTTAAATAGGCTGATAAAAAAAAAAAAAATGGTTTAAGTTTTGAAATAGTTTGAAATTGTTGGTGATATCATTTTTAGAGATTATTTGTTGTTATCAACATTTATTTTATAAAACAAAAAACGTTATTATATTTATTATATTTCCAAAAACTTTTTTAATTTTATAACTATCTTTATAAATATTGGGAAGTTCTAAATAATTACCAACTTCATGTGATTCTAGAATTCAATTAAAATGTTTATAATATCACAAAAAAAAAATATAAAAAAAAAAAAATAAGAAAATAAGAAATAAACATTTAATTTAATTAGTTCAAGTATTTATCCAATTTTTCATCTAAAATTCCTACTGAAATTTTATTGTAAACAAACTTCATGTAACTGCACATTTACTTTAAAGTTACTGCAATACAGAGGAATGCAATATTTTATATTTAATTTATAAAATATACATTAATCGGTTTTAAATACTTACGGCATTCTTAAGAATATTATTCGTGTTTAATATTTAGTTTTGTGCACTTTATGATTAATTTGCGTAGTAACCTATATATGTTCTGACATATTCTGTTTATTTTGGCCATGTTATTTTTAGACAAACTTAATGTTAAATTATTTACTCAGCACTAAACACATCCACTTAAAAGTTTACTTATTCGATTTACACTTTATTTATTTAAAGTTTTTATTTAAAAAGCTTTGCCACTTAACGATGCGTAAATACTAAATAATAATATTTTTTTTTTAACAAGCTTTTTTATTCTTTTTATAAGATATATCGTAAATCTTGTTAATAAAACTCAAAAATACTCATTATTTTTAAGAATTTTGACCGCAGAAATTAAATATATTTTAATGTCTAACTCTGTTCAATTAACTTATTTTATTACTTGAATGATTTACATACAACACACTAGAAAATTAACTGAATAACAAAATGTCATACTTATTAATTATGTATTGTATATATTACATAATACTTATTATGAAAGGAAAAATGTTTGTATGTCCAAAAATTTTAAAATAAAATGTAAAAAAACTAATTTTTATTTTCCAGTGATTGATTGTATGATGTCAGAATGGGAATCATGGAGTGAATGTGATACGGAATGCGGAAATGGCATGATGACAAGAAAAAGACAAGTAATAAAGACACCAGTAAATGGTGGCAAACATTGTCCTTCGATGGTGCAGAAAAGAGCGTGCATGGGAACTAGGTGTCCCAATTATCCCGGGAGTGCGCTAAAAGGTATTTTTACTGACTATTTTTTTTCTAAAAATGTAAAACTTTCTAAAACATTAAAAAAATTGTTCTTTCAATAGTTTATAAAAAATCTCAAAATCTAATGTCGGTTATAATAAAACTATTATCTTATTTCTTTCAATAATTGTCTAATAATAACAAGGATAGCAAGTTACCAAAAATTATTTTATACATGTAATAATAAACTATGTACCCCTAGCTGTTTCTCGATTATACACTTTGGCGTCAAGCAGTCTTTTATGCTATAAAATTGCATACGTTGATTGCCGCGCTATCGTATAATTATATAATTACATTATTTGAATATGTCTATAAGTATAACTTACTTCTAAACATTAAATCTTAAGTCATCAATATAGAAAAATATATTAAATGTACGAATTAATTTTAACTAAGTGAAATTGTATTTTATTTTCTATTTTTGACAACAATAATTTGTCAAAAATTGATCCAATAATAATGGTCAACATTGTTTATGTTCAAAATGATACTTTAATCTTTTTGGGATTTCGTTTCAAAATATACGATATTTCTCATCACAAGACTTCAAGTATCCATTTATTTTTTTTTTTTTAGAGTTGAAAATTATTTATTATTGAGTAAAAATAAAGTAGTCTTTACTTAGAAATGTATGCATCAATTTATTTTTAAATAATTCTATTAATTAAATTTGCTAATCTTTTCTGAATGATTAATAAAAAAAGTATGAAGTTTTTAAATTGTATTGTTTGTTATAAAAATATAATGGAACATAATACATAACAAAATGAGTTTCATTATAATTTTATTAAATCAAATTAATTAATTATTGTCAGTATAATATATAGTGGTTATTTCTATATGGTATATGTACTCGTATATTATAAATATATTAGCTCATAACTATAATGTTATTATTTTAAAACTAAAAGATTAGCATTTTAAATACATTTTAATTAACGATTTTATATTATGCATTATAGCAATTATTTTGTGCTTTCATTTTACTATAGATTCATCAATAAAATGTAAACATTAAAACAATATAAAACTGTAATATTATAAACATATCCATTGTTATAAGATCAAAAAATCCATTTATAATAACAATGTGTTTAAAGAAAATAATCATTGCATATTTACCTAGGTATAAAAAATGCTTTGTAATTTTTACATTTTGTATAAAATTTTATGTAATTATGTAAAAAGTGTATATTTTTAGACTTATTTTAACCAATATTTTAATAAAACAGTAATAATATAAAATACTTTTTCAAAAACAAAGTTTAAATAATATTAAAAAAATATTAAAGACAAATTACAAAACGTGTAAGTATATTACAATTTCTATTTTTATAACTTAAAAGCATGTTTACGTAATTTTTAAACAATAATTTTACTAAAAAAATCCGCATTTTTATCATTTTTAGTAAATGTTTATACTAATACGAATTCTCTATTGTGTTTTGCATAACTCCAAAATTTCACATCCCTGTAAGACCCTGTAACCATACCCTAGTGCTTCCATGGTAATAATAAATACAATTTTCTATCACTATCTTGCTCAACTGTATTTTAACCATAACAAATATTTATAAATCGTATCAAATGAAAAGTAAAATGCATCTCCTTGTAATATTTTCTTAGAATTTTTGTTCATTTTTGGAGATAACAGTCCTTAGTAACGGTTTAATTTATTGTCTGACTGTTGGCATGAAAATATTTTAATCAAGCAAAAAGTCGAGGCTCATTATTCACAAGCACCTTTTATATAAACAAAAGATAAGAAAGAAACAATTGCAATAAAAAATAAAAAATATTGTAATAATTCATTGTTAAAAATTATAGACATCTGTGTTTTGGCTGTTTTCAAGATTGTTTTGTTGTATAAATATTAAATATACACTATACATATATACTTATTGTATTCGTGTATATTACTATTATTTATTGTCATTACTTTGGGTATCATTTTTATTAAACATTGTGTACAAATTCACTTTAACTTTAAACTGACTGACAATTGTGTAAAATAAAATTGTATTCAATTTTAAATGCAAATTTTGTAAATGATATATCATGTTTTATAATATTTTTTTATTACTATTATTATTATTTGTCATAAAAACATAGATTACTAAAACTATTATAGTCATAAAGAATATAAGATTTATAAGATTAATTTTTATATATTATTCACATTAGGTATTTGTTATCTTTTAAACTAACATTTTCATTTATTTTTTTTTTTTACGTATATCATAATATTCATCTAATGACAACTATTAAAGTGTTTTGACACTTGAGCGTAAATAATATGAGATCACACAATTCGAAAAATTACTAAAAAATGTACCACCAAAAAAAATGTATTTTGAATAATTATGCATAGAAAATATAAATATATAATAACAAATTGCAGTTGAATCAATTAATTAAATCTTTATTGACAATAGTCGATTTTAAATAGATAAATAAAACTTAAAATACAATGTACTATTCATCTTCTAGACTTATACTCTAAACACCTAACTGTATCATTATTATTTTTTATTGTTTTATTAGATTAATTTTTAGTTGTATATATTTACCTAGAATTTAGTTTTATAACTTTAGTTGATTGTCTTTAATATTCTAATTTAAGATTTAAAAATTACTATAAGTGATACTAATAATTCTATATTAAATTAATTTAGATAACCTATCGTCTATTTATATGTGTTTTTAATTGAGTAATTAGTTAATTTAAAAATTTGAATAGTTAATATAATATCATCAGTAATAATACTCCAGAGTTTCTTTACTAACTGTATTCAGAAACACTCTTAATTACTGAAACAACGTTTGTGATAAAAGCTAATATATTTGACCCTAGTCACTGTAAATAAGATGAAAGAGATTTAGATAATTTAGAAACTACGACTTAATATAAAGCCTTAAAGGTCAGCGAGAGTCAAACGGTCAATGATCATTAATTAAACATAAACTTTACCTAACGAAAAACTGCAATTTGGTGATAATCTATGAAATCTAAGGTAAATAATATAATCCATAAACATAACCATATAATTCTAAAATATATTATTCTTTTATATGAGTAACTAATAAATAATTAATAATATATTATAGATTATTATTGTTCAATGTTTAAAAACTTACAAAATTTGAAAAATTGTCAATTAGTGTTGATAAATTACAATACTCTAATAATGTGTATTAGCCATTAGGTAGTATAAATGTGAAGGAGAAAAAAATTTAACAAACTATTTAACAGCTACGTGAATGGCAATACATAATTGTGAATATGCTCTGAAATATGCATTAGATATTATTTATTCTTCAATATAATATAAAATAATACAAAATAAACGTATTAAAACGGATTGATATTTATAAACATTTTAAAACGAATAATTTAAGTAAATCTAACGTATAATGTAGATTTAAAAATTGAAAGACTCAATCCTAGATATGAATGCCTGATGTCATAATAAATATTATTAATACTTATAATAGTAATATCATTGATTATAAATAGTGTTAAAGGAATACACAATAATGATATTAGTATTTTCAATATTCATATACAAAATCGTTATAATTTAAACAACTGTTGAAGATAATATTATGTTAAATTTTTCTTTTATCTCCAACTACTCGTAATATGTGTTATAAATTAATGTAGTGATATATATGTATAACCTATATATTATGTTAATTTAATAACCTAATCATAATTTATAAGTAATGGTATTATTTATTTTATGTTCCAAAATAACCATTCCATTTTTATCATAGAAATTCAAATTTATAAAGTTTTGATTATTAATTATATTAATTTTCTAATACATCACGTGCCAATTAAATATATTTTTCGTGATATAAAATGACACGAATACATTTTCGTAAAAACTTAAGTAATAAATTTTCATTCTAATATGAATAAAAAATTCTGACATATGTTTCAGGTTAATCCTAATTATTGTATGTTAATTTATATATATATATATATATATATATATATATATATATATATAGGTAATCTAATAATTATGTTCGATTAATATAACAACAATTCGAATTAAAATAACAACTAACAAACGATATTATTTAAGCAATTACTAACAATACATATTAATGTATAGTTATATTTATTAAGTAAATTAACATAATTAAATTTCCGAAGTTCTATAAATAACTATATTTAATAAATTAAATCTATGTAATTTATGTCTAATGTACATGTGTATTAACCATTACAAGTTAGCTAGAATCAATTTAATTTAATTTAACTTTTGTAAATCATTGTTAATCAAGTTAATTGTTTTATGATGAAAATTATAACTATACTATATATTTAGTATAATACCTACTGTAAAAGATATTTAAAATTAATATCATATTATTATAATAGCCATGCATTATAAATTAATAAAAAAAATTAAAACTGTATTATTAGTGGGTTTTTTTTTTTAAGATAGGTACCTATTAAATTTATATTTTTTAAACCCTAGTCACTACTTACCGGAGTAATTAAGTAATGATATTGTGTGAAGTATAATAAAACCATCTATATTTAAGCAATTTTCCTTTTCTTTTTAGAAACCGCCATGTTGCTGCCTGCATCTTTAGCATCCAACCGTTTGAGTAATGAGTCCCAAGATATACGTCACAATTTAAAGTACCGCTTGTCAAAAGAACCAGTCAATTTAGATTCAAAGGAGTAAGTATTCAATTATTTATAATGTTATTATTTGACATACATTAAAAAAATAACCAAAACTCAAAATATTTAACTTGATGTGGACGAAGAAAAGGGCATTTAATTTTGGTTAAATCTATAAGCAATAGCCATACTGGAGAGTTTGTTAGGTTCACACAATTTATATTTATATGCGTTTTATGTATAAATATGGCTTTGTAATATCTTCATGTGTGAGTCTGCCTGTATATTTTAAACATATATATTATATAAGCTCAATGAATGCATAATTAAAGGGAGACAACGGTATATAGAGATACTCTGTAATATAGATAGGGGGGCTAGTCAAGGAAGATAATTGTAACAAAACCTGGGATAGTTAATATTTAAATTTTGGGCATACCTTTGTCGTGAAATTACTATCAAAGACGTTAAACATTCTTATACCCTAACACTTTACTTTTTTTTTGCGTAAATACAAACCGGCGACGGTATGCGTCACAATCAACGCCTTAGTCCGCTCGGCTACTCCATACTTATGATCTGTTATGAGTAACACTACTAAAAATATTAATTACCTGCAGAAATAGACCTCTAAGAATTTTAGAGTCACTAATATAAAAATAATTAAATTATAAACTTGAATAAACTTACGGCTATGTATTATTAAATACAAATAAAACTTTGTCTTGACGTTACGCATTAAATATTAAATCCAATAATTGTAGTTTGTATAATATAGTTTATAATTTCTAATAAATATTAATCAATGATTAGCATGTCAATGTATCTACATTGCAATAATTTAATTATAAAAAAAAAATACATGAACATAAATTATATAAAATTATGCATTCATTATGCATATATAGAAAAATATTACTTTTTACTTAAGCTTTTACTTCAAATCCTAATTATAATAATTTAGTTTATTGAATTTTACATAGGATTACATTATATTTACATAACAAAATAAAAATAGAATTATATTATTAACTTCGTATATTTATTATTTAAACTTATTGTATCGTATCATAGTGTAAATAATGATAAATAAAATACTTGTACAACATATATACTTAACTAAAAATAAATAACTATAAATGGCACTAAATTCAATAAAAGTAATATATCTTTATTACTTTACCTGAAAAGTTATGAACGTATAATATAATAATTAAAAAGTAATATTTTTTTGTATTGTAAATACGAGCGTTAAAGCAAATTTTCAAATAATTACTCCTGTGTTAAATTCATTTCATTAAAATATAAATTACATAAAAATATTTGAAGTTAAATTTTAAATAAAATGATTAAATATTTTCAGTAATTTGAAGTTTTAATAAATAATAGTTCAAAATTATAATATATTTCATATGAAATTATGAGCCTAGGTGTGTTAAAATTACATATTATTTTATTTCTCAGATATCAGTTTGTTTTCAAAAAGTAGGTCAAATTCATTAATATTTAAAAACCGAATGATAAAAAATATCAGTTTACAGAAATTATTTTAATTTCATAGCTGGAAGACTTATTTTCATCTTATTTTTATTTGTTATTATATATATTTTTATACGAAATCCGTGGTTTTTTAGTATTAATATATTCAAGAAAATGATATGTACTTGACATTTGAGTTTATTTTTAAAAAATTTACTTTGCTTAAAATTAATTTTAAATCACTAATATTACATACATAAGCCAAAACGTAAAAAGTTGTCAACTTATTATTTATTTCGTTTTTTAATTTAATTGAATTTAAAATATAATATTTTTTGTCTTTTGAACTTTTATTTATACATACAATTATTATAATGTATACAGTAATAACCTATATTATATAAATATATAAAATTATAATATAATTTATTGCTAATTTTCAAATTTAAATTAGATATATCAATCAGTTTTCAATAATATTAGCCAGTATATTAATATTTAAATAAATATAAATTCAACACGTAAATTATTCTCAAATATTATTATTTAATTATTATAATACACGTGCGTTTTCTGAAAGGTACTAAAAGTATATATCAAGTAGTTACGATAATTTACCTCTTAAATTATTAAAATGATTTTAATTATAACAAACGTATCTCAAAAATTACACAATAACTCTTGAAACAAATTAGATAGCTTTCTGATTTGATATTGTAAACGGTCACGCGTATCCGTCTAAATCTATAATCAATATAGGATATAATCATATATATATATATATATATATAAATTATGTATATTAGGGCCAACCACCCTGTGATTGATTACATCATATTGTACGTCTAATTAATTGTCTGTATGTAAATTAACCCTCCCTTGTCCCAAGTGCCGTAACTATGCGTTAATATGATTGTTACCCCGTTGGCCATCTCAACGATGCAATATTGAATATCGTAAACACAGTGAAATATAATATATATATATATATAAATATTGTTATACCAACTACGTTTAATAATAACACTGAAATGCATTGCCTAAAATATTATACTAATAAATAAACCGTATACTATCTGTTAAACGTGTCTGTGTTCAAATTATATGAAACTACGTTGTGTAATATACTCTCAGTTATGGGGATTTTTGTGACTTTATTTTAGTGGCTCTTATCAAACTTAAAAATTACTTGAGTATTTAGAAATAAAAATAGTGACAGGTGATAACTATATAATATTACAATATAAATTGTTTTTCTACAATTTAACATACTTATTCTTATAATATTATCATCATTGATATTTATATTTTGATGGCTTTATAAAATATTTCTACAAATTATTTAAAAATTCGTGTTTTAAACGCAAGTTTGTGAATCAATACAACATCATGATAATATATATATATATATATATATTATATACACATATTCTGAATATCAAAGTATGTTTTTATAGTGCCACACTAAAGTAATATATTTTCACTTGTCAGTATATATTTCACATTATGTGTACGAATTTTCAATATAAAGAATTCATTAAAACCTCAGAAAAAGATGATGTGTTTTGGACGTCTTTAATTAATGTAGATACTCGTCGGCAATCGCAGCTACCTTTGTGTGTTAGTATATTGTATATGTACGCGTGTTATGTAGAAGTTGTGATGTGTGCACATGGAAATTACAAGCGTCGATGACCTTTTCAATAGATACTTGTTATGAATGCTGTCGGTTGATAAAAGCTGTTTACATGTCTGGGCTTTTGTGCCCAAGTCAATGCATGAAATTAATATAGTATAGCGAATGATGTACGATGAATATATACTAAAGTTGAGTAGGCGATAAAAAATAAAATATGTATATAATATACATAATATATAAGTATATGGGTATATGAGTATTTTTTTAGCTGGCCTTTTAAACCAAGCTTAACAAAAAGTACTCCAACGCAATGTCAACATTATGCGCCGAGATTTTTGGTCCAAAACACGTGGTTTAGTATTTATGGGGCACGGAGTAAAATATGTTCTATAAGCTTCACATAATATTGAAAGTTCTGCAAAGGGTTCTTATATAAAATTTAAAAAAAAAATGTTCATGAAAGAAATGACAAATTGGAAATTGTAGTATACTTCTCACGAATAAAAACTGATATCTATTCAACCTCATATTATAAAATATTTGGATATACATTTATAGTACCTATTTAAAAGTGAATAAAATTTTTAAATAATGAAAAACAAATTATAATTTATAAAAATTAATACCTACCATAAGTATTTAATTATTTTTTAGTGATTTATATTACTTAACCCTAGGAATAATAGAATATAATTTCTTGTAATTATTTATTTTTAAGTGGCTATGTCCTAAATTAATTTCTCACTTAGATTAAGATTATATTCACAATGAATAATATTATATTTAAAGAGAATATATATAAATACCTCAGCACATATTTTTAAATTAAAAATATAAAAATCAACATACAGTTTTTTTTTTTAATTTTATGAGCTCGACTTATATACAGGATAATATACCTGAACACTATAGATAACTATAAAATAGCAATGTAAGAATGCAATCTCATAAAATAGCTACTTGCTGTAATTTTCTCCTTACTAAACTCACATAAATCGTATTTTATTTTCGTTTATATTTTACGATAAATATATTTAAAAATATATGTGAAGAATATACTTCATATCATAATTTATAATAATACTGTTATTTATATGATCGTAAAGTTATGAATGTACAATAGTCATGATTTATGAATAGATTTTTTTTTTACGTATAATCAGAGTTATTATTTAGGGCAATAATAGATATACCTACTTATAACTCTGTTAAATATAAAAAATAATAGTATCACACAATAAAAATATTTAAATCAAACTTATAGAAATAGAAATTAAAAATGATAAATAAATTATTATATAGTTTAACTAAAATCTCGACTAGAATCTCTCGAATTTAAACTGTTAAATATGTATTTTGAAAAAAAAGCAATACAAGTGACGTCAGATATTCACTCATTTCAGTGCTATAGCCTTCAGATTAGTGGTGTATTATGATTTTGTATCTCATTTATAAAACGACTGTTTGTGAGTAGAAGTAACATTCTATTTAGTACTTTTTACATGTTATAATTTTCAATTAAAATAATTTTTAAACATTGGTTTTAAAAATGTATCAAATATAAAATTTAAATTTAAATTTAATCATGAACTTCGAATTTCAAGGTTACATTGTTGGATTTATATTGACGGCAATTGGCAAGTTGCAAGTGACAGCTATTTAATTTGTTGTTTATACTTAACACTAAATAATTCTTAATAGTATATTCAACGATAAAGGTAACACGAAATATTTCCAAAACATGACTCTGAATTTCATATTTTTTTTTTTTTTTCATTGCATAAAATATTTAATACTACATTTATTTTTGAAAAATTTAAAGTTTTGAAAAAAATGTTTACACATGGGCAGCAAAACAAATTTTTTTCTTATTTTTTAAGTTTAGTATAAATTAAATACATTTTTTAAAAAAATTAACATTAAGTATTTTACCATTTTTAAAATGGACTTATGAGACTCAAGTGAGTTTAAGTTTCAATTTATACAATATACATGTTATACATAACGTATTTTTTTTAATAGTCTATCTACAATTATATAAAATTCCGTATTATTATTTCGTAGAATTTTTCTTTTTAACTTGGATGTGGTATCGTAAGTCAAAGTTATGCAAAAAGGAGGATTTAACTTAAAAAAAGAGTTTTGCTGTACATAGTTGGCTAATTTTTTTTAAATTTTTATTTTTCAGAAATAAGTTCAATATTAAGTTTTTAATATAGCCATAGAAATCTAAATAAATTCAGGGTCATGCATTCAAAATATGCTGTGTTATCTTTATCGTTTAACACATTATAGGACATAGGTGTATTACACTTAAGTCTTAACCACGATTTTAAAAATAACGTTAAATAGTAAATACTTACTAATAAATTGTTTAAAAAAATTTTATTTTTATGATAAACTTATACTAAAAAATGAAAATTACGAAAGGTTATTATCAAAATCTTAAAGATAAAAATTGAGATTGAATACTTAACGAACATATATTTTGACAAGATATGATAATAAACAATGGTTGATAATTTATAATATTAAATTTATAAAGAATTAATTAATTAATACTATATAACGATGAAGAATGCGATAAACCAATATTTGGAGTAAGGTAGACAAAAATGTAAATATCGACAAAGATGACAATTATTTTTACTTTTTTTATGTAGTTTTAAAATATTACATCATAAAATAATCAATATTAAGTTACTCTAGAGATTTATGTATTAATGTAAATTTTAGTATATAATAGGTAAATAAAAAAATCAAATGGAAGATAAGGTGTTATTAAATTTAAAAATAAATCACATATTATAATATTGAAGAAAAAATTATTTAAAATTTAAGACAACATAAAAAAATGAAATAAAAAAATAAGAATATACACACAATGTAATAATTATAAGCAAAAAGTAAAATATGTTTTTGTAATAATGCATTTTTGAGTATATATCATGTATACCTAATACTATAAGAAGGACTGAGGTAATGCAATTTTTTAAGGGAAAAGAGAGCTTCGTATTCTGAAAGAATATGAAAACTATAGAAATTAATTTCCCGCACTATATACTAAATAACAAATAGTATATTTATTTCTTGACAACAATTCTCAAATAAATTACATACCCTATAAAACTTAGAAATTCAAAATTCAAAATTATAAAATCATTTATTTACAGGTTTGTTGATAAACAGATCCTCACTGGAATTATTAATAAATGTATAACTTTTTTTTTTGAACAGCTTTAAAGTTTAATTTAGATGGTGAAGATTAAAATATTCATTTGTTTTAATAAATATTACTATTTATTAAGATTAATAAAGACAGAAAGTATAATTTTTACAATCAAATTTAGTTATATTTAATTATTTTGTCATAAACCATTACGATTATAATATTATTATATTAACTTTATGAACATACATTTTTAACATTTTTAAAATTGTATAGCGTATATTTACGTTTTCATCAACTTTAATTTTATGTACGAACTTCCATATTGTATATATACACTGAAAACGTAAACTATAATACTTTATATTGTTATTATTACTACATTTATTGATAATGATTGTTTCGTGAGATGATAATGATAAATCACGATTTAATATAATGCACACGATACTATGAATAATGTTTATCATAAATTGCATTCTTTGAAAAGTTTTAATAATAAACATTACGAAAGTTGTTTAAGCAAAGAATCAACATACCAAACGTGATTTTAATTATCTATGTATCTACATAACATAACGATTATTATATAATACGTATATTATTATAGATTATTGTGCTTATACATAAATGTATAATAATACACTACGGCATTATACTGAGTACTCTTAAATCGCATTAACTGATCCGAAAATCCTCCGGTATCATAATAATATTTACATATATTATGTCAACAACATGACTAGATTATTATGTGTAATATGTCAGTATGTGACGTGTGTCACATACCTACTATACATACCTATACACCTAGTATATCTTCCACTACCGATGAATATCATTATCATGATAATTTTAAAGGTGAAGATAGAGCTGAAAACTACGAATGTGATATTTATTGACATATTTCATAGTTAAAATGGTCAATGGGTATAAGCCGGTGTCACTTTGACATTATATTTCAGAGAAGGAAAATTATATTTTTATTCACAACATGTGATATGTGACAAGATGATCATTTTATCATTCACTACTGACTGTTTGCAAATATTTCAAGCAAACATTTTGGTTTTAGTTTTCTTTCGTTTGTAATCATTAAGGAATCGTTTATGCATTCAATTAATACCATGTAAAATTTTTTTCTATTTTTTATCATAGTTTTTATACTTTTCAAATGGCTACCTTAATAGACTTAAGGTCTATGTTGTATTCATCTTTTTTTTTTTTAATAATAAAATGTATAAATTAAAATCATTCAAAAGTCTTAACGATTCATATCATAACGACTGAAATGATTAAAAATCAAGTTCGCTTAAAATTTCCACAAATCTAACCATTAAAATTCCAGTTCCAACTAATTATATTTACAAAAGTATAAAATATATTATATAATGAATACTAAATTGACGCTGTTTGATATCAGAATAAAAATTATTAAATGCGTATGTTTCAGGTACTGTGTTCTTTTCGAGGTGATAAAAGCGACCAAGGCCTGCAGAAAAGTGTCCGAATACTCTTTGCTTAGAGAAGGTAAGGCTCGACTACGTTAAAATCCCAACTAATTACACTCGAATTCTCACTGTTACTTTACTACTGAACTTGTTGAACAAAATAAATGAACTTAAGGTAGGATGTTGCAGTATAAATATATAATACTAACGTATATCCGATCTCCGGCGCGCACGCCGTTCTGGTGTCAGGTATATATTGTACCTGTCATGGTGATATAATATATGAACCTCAGCACTACGTAAAATTAGTTTTTCATACACGACAAATAAATATTTGATCGTTTTCTTTACACCTTGAATACAATAACGAATACCGTGCTTATTTTACGAGATTCGAATCTTTTTACGCGCATACTGCCGGTATCATATTATGACTATATATAATTATTATAATCTACTTTTATAACTTACCTATACGGACCAGATTTTACGTTAAGTTTAGGCTGTATAGTTGATTGCAGCAACGAGTTTTGTTTGAACCATATTGTTAATCGTTATTTTTATAAATTATAACATTTTATTTTGATCATTTTTTTTTTTTTTTTACTCGAGCTTGATAATCGTCTTTGCTATAGTATAATGATAAATAAATAATCAATTAAATTGTATAATCATTAAAAATAAGTTGTCCGTATTTACATATATTTATTGTACATCTGTTTCGAATATACATAAAGTATTTACAACATAATATGTATAAAATAAATAACACCAAATAATTAAGTGATGTTTTCTATACATTATATTTTTTATTTAAAACAGAACGGTTAAAAAGATTTACATATACCTACATAAAATATATATGTTATGAGAAATTTACACCATGAATAAAATAATTAACAATTTATTTTTGTTTTATTACTAAACACTATAATACGAGTAGGCATGTTTTATACAAATAATTATATGTTTTACACAATCCCAATTAAACTATTTTTAAAACAAATAAATAAGTATAAAATATGACTTTTTTATTACAAATTTTTAATAGATTTTTACTATAAAAAATGTCAGGACTCAGAAATAATTTGATATACTTAGGTACCTAATTAGTTATTTTAATAATATAACTATCAATAAATTTATACATATTTTCTTACTAAAATAACAGTTTAAATCTTAAAGTTTACCTATTTTTCTTCTCTTAAGTTTGTTTATTTTGTGTAAAAGTGACCTCCTAAAAAGTAAGAAGTACGTTGGTTGAATGTTCCTTCGGAAGCCAAATAAGAAAATAATGTAACAGGCTACACATTAAACATAACTTAATTTTTTATGAAATAACACGCACAATTTTAGTCATAATAATTTATCTATATAAGACTACATAAAACCACTATTTTATAAAGAAATAAAACAAACGTTCAATCCAATACATGTAAATGAAATATAAATAGATTTAATAATAGTATTAAAATTAGAAATTCAATATAAAAACAAGCTCATATACCACTAAGATATACGAATAAACACAATGTTTAAGACAAGAAAAAATCAAACTTATATTTTGATTATATACCATATAGGTGTATGCTTCAAAAACACATTAAACAACATCTTATTGTTAGAGTTATTTCAAAATTTTGTTACAATGAAAATCAACTAAAACTGCTATAATATCCTCCTTTGAAAAGTTTTTTTTTTTTAACATTTTAACAATAAAATGTACAGTTTATGTTTTTTTTTTTCCATTATAAAAGAGGTTTTTTTATTACCACGTATTGTCGAAATTACCTATATAAAGGAAAATTTAGAGTAAAAGGCAATATTATATACATAAACACTTACAGTCAGTAAGTGTAATAGTTACATTATTAATATCATTAATATTATTAGTTACCGGATAGTGTACATTATTAATTATTATTACTAATACAAATCCTAATGATAAAACCGAATACTTATTAGTTTTAGTTCTAATAACTTCTTATATCATTTTATTAATATCATGTAAATAATTTTTATACTTAGTAAGATTTTCAGAGCCATATTATGTTTAAATTATATAAACTTAATTAAATCGATTTCTATTTAACCGTTTCCTTTTAACTGTATTTTACAAACATTTTTGAAGAAATGAGATGCTGCTGAAGATATTAAAGTTAAAGACATTGTTTTCCGTTTCATTGTTCACATCGTATTTTCAATTTTGTATATAGCATCTATATCTTATTGTTATTTAACAAAAACACCTTGATATACCTACTTTAAAACTAAATATGTGAAACTAACCTTACTTAAGTATAAAATACGTAAAAAACATAAATTTAAATATAAATACAATAATTATAATAGTAATAATAATATTTTACATGTACCAATGAAATTACGTTTTAATATAATATATGTCAGATTGAAACTTTAAATTACTCTGCTGTTCTGAGGAATTTTAAGCGTATTTGCGAATGAATTTATACCCTTCGACTGACAACCATATAACATTATTTTTAATAAAATTATGAAAGTTTATTTAAATTTTTTCCCTTATTATCAAGAATCAATTGGTGATAAAAATTAAATGATAGTAATTTGGTTTAATTCATTATTATGAATAATTATTAACTATAATTTTGATATCTAAAACTGCTTTTAAAATAAAATGTCCAATAACATTTCTAAGTGAGATGAAATTGCGCAAAACTGTGTGAATAAAAAATTAAGAATATGTACTTATATGTGGAATCGCGAAACACCGTTATCAATGAGTATTTTTTTAGTTTATCATAAATACACTGGGGTAAGATATGTTATAAAATAATTAGTTAGTCTAAAATATTCAGTTCTATTTTATTCTGAGATGCTTGAGACTAAGTCTTTTGCGCCAATATTACAGGTAGTTTTATGTTAATATTGTATTTTTTTTTTATATATCTGTATTTTATTTGTTTCCGGTTTTCCCGCACAGGTGAACGTGTGTGTGTGCGCTGTGACACACAGGTGATGCGTCAGTCGCTTGGGTTCCGGTGCCCGGGTCATGGGACAATGGATCGAGCGACGAGATGGACCGTATTGTCGGCGCCCCATTGTCATGGCAAATGGGTTCGTCTCGAATCGGCTGGACAACAGGATGGGCACTCGTGTCCGATGTGTAAAAAAGGAGCACAGTTCGTATTCGTATAAGCCAGCGGTCGCTGCTCACCTAAGTATAAAATATATTATACGAAACCCCCTCTGATTTTTTTTTATATACAAATATACATATTCACACTCACCCTGTCAATTTTCTTCCTCACTGCAACTACCCTACACTTCCACAGCAAATTCGGATACATGTCGTTATACTTCCATGTATAAATACATATACGTATGTGTGTAGGTATATAATGTTTATGTGTGTGTCTGTGTATGTATTTATACTGTATACGTTTTTTTTTTTTTTTTTTTTAAAAAAGAATAGTGTACCTACAACGTAATAATTAGTATAATAACAATAATACTACTCTGTACGACCGTATAATACATATTTAAATACAGGGTGAACCATTAAAATTGAGTGCTTCACTTCTTCTTTACAAATAAATCTAAATTTATGCACCTATTCCTCTTCTTAAAAAAAAAGGTTTGTTAGATTTTTAATTTTAAAATTGAACACTGAATAAATGTAGTTTTATTTTTTTAATAATTGCTTAAACTCTTGGTGAGTGGGCTATAATTTTTACTGGATACCAATACCTTACCACTTTACTCAATGCAAACTTTAAATGCTTATCAATACTTAATAATTATATACCAACGGTTTTAAAAAGTATTTTACTTATTATTTTAAGTCGTAATTAAAAACTTTTAAAAAGTAGTAACAAATTAGATTTTTGAAAAAAATGTAATATTATAAGTACATCAAACTATTTAAAAAATATTTTATTTTTTCAAAAATACAAAAATTACTGTATTAATTTAAATAGATAATTTCTTATATCATATTATATCATACTATTATGCATTATATAATAAATACGATATACATATTATGTGTGTATATTCCGGGCAGATACATCCTTACATTTTTTTTGGCTGCTATAATTATTCGTACATATCCTTTACGTCAAGATTTTTCATATTATCATTATAAATACTTATTATTATTTTTGATATCCTTTAATTTCCGTCAACCTCTCTTCGCTTATGAATTATTTATATTTTCAATATTATATTGTTATTAATTATTTGAATATGAAATTTAATGCTGTATATGTCTCTTTTTATTTTAATAGAGTATAATACCTAGTTATTAACAAATCCACACACGTTCCACTCGTAAAATTTGTAAATATAAATTTTAACATAATAATAATAATTATATAAGTTTAATTATGAACCCAACTTAATTTAATAACTATAAATCATTAGTTTAAATATTAGATATTAATTAAATATAGTATATTTTTTTCTGCTTTTTTCATTAGGTACTATTATTTAATTATTAATACACGCATACATTATTAACTTATAATTTTTTTTTTCTTTCTAACTAGATTAGCTTAGTTTTTTTTATCAGTTTATGATTATAATTATTTGTAAAATAGAACAAAATAAAAAGTAAAAATCTTGTAATCCTATTAATTATATTAAGTCTGCATATTCTTATCCTAAAATAATGTTAATAATTATTTGCAATATTATCTATTTTATACAAAAATAATTTATACAACTATTTTTTAATTATATTTATTTATATTTTCAGCTAAAAGTAAGTTTTAATGAATTAAATTAGGTAAAAAAATAGTAAATAAATAACAATTGTACACATAAGAACAATTTAAAAAATTTAATTGCAATAAAATGTATTTGATGTTGTATCAAATGATTAATAAATTATAAATTTAGTATAGTTAAAATTTACTATAGTTAATATAATTCATCAGTGCATAAATGTATATAGTCGTTAAGTGTTTATATTACAGCAGAAAAAAACAAATTACAAACTATTTTATAAAAACTAATATTTTTGAATTATCAAGTACAGATTCTCATATACAAACTGAACTTGATTATACGTTAATAACGATTATTGAAAAACTGATTTATTTATTGATTTATTGATAAGTATATGTTTAAAAATTTTCTAACGTAAAATACACGTAACAATTTATTAAATTAATTGGGTACAATTTAGTTCCGAACTAAACTTTTTCGGTGACTTGTTAAAACGCATAATCGACTGGTTAAATAGTAGTCGATTCTTAACAATGAGATATTGTATTTAAACCTCGACGGTGTCGGCTGTAAACCATTAAAACTTATCTAGGTCAACCACAATATAATTTCTCACTGTCGACTAAAGAAGATTATACTTCTGGGACATTCTTTGTTTCAAGATTTTTTTATGAATCAAATTCTTTCAATGAGAGAAATTACAGTCTATTTAAATACTCGTATATTCTAATATGATGTATTAATACTTCATTATTAAATTATCTAAAAACAAATCAAAAAATACATCATTCCTAGACAAAAACTCTACAAAAAATGTAAACCAAATTTATGATTTCTTCGCTTAACTCTTTTATTCTAATTATATCTAAAGTACTACATTAATTTATGAAATTATGGAAAATAATGATATAAGTGGTTTATTCTATCAATAAATCATTTTAAAACTAAATATGATTCTTGATAAGATAAAAGTTCCTATTAAATTTTTATGCTCATAAATAAATTCATATACATACATTATTTATATCAACAATTATTATGTATATAATTAATAACTTTGATTAATTGCGTGGTAATAATGAATGATATCTAAATTACTCGAGGAAAAGAAATATAATTTACTTTAACCCTGCACTTTATTTTTTTTTGTTTAAAAATATAAGATATAATATGAATCATGAGTACTGTGTAAAAAAAAATGTGTTTGTACCATGTGATTACATTTCATAATTTGCGTCTGATTAATTTATTTTGATCAAACATGAATTTTTTTCACGAATTATATTGCTAATTTTTGACAACAAGCGTCGCGAATAAATTGGTCCACACAAAAATAATTCTGAGTATTTTAAATTTTTTAAAGTCATTTTTAACTTTATTCATTATGTATAACAACTTATATCGTAAATAACTCGTAAAAAAGTAATGACACTTTCGATCAAAATATTCACATATTTATGCATTACACTTTAGTTAAACTTTAAGCAATTTGGATTAATTATAATTGCTATGAACTGTTTTAATAACATTTCAAACAAACTCAATAAAATATTTTTTTAAAAGGACCTTTATGGAAATTTATGGCAAGTATACTGTAATAACTAATAATACATAATTTGTTGTGTATTATTTTAATTAATTTTCACTCGTATATTATAATATGTATTACAAAATAATCAAATTATAAATAGGTAACATAAATTATTACCGACATATTATAATATTCTTGACTATATTTTAGATTTTTTTCTCGTTTCTAAGCCCCATTAAAGTTAGCGCAATCGGCAAGGAATCGAAAAAACTAAACATGTGGCCGAGAAAATTCGACATTACTAAACAATAAGCGCTTACGATCAATTGATAATGCTGCATACTTCTAAATAATATATAGAAACCAGCAACACCTACAGCTGCAGTCTAATAGTTTATATTTTATAAACTTATAAATTATATGCTGGCACGTGCTTAATTAAAGTAATTAAGAAACTATCTAACTAATTTTTCAGATATTTGAGCGTACCTTAGTACTTCTTTTTACTGGAACATAAATTTATGGGTGAACACGATTGCGGACGCTTTACTTTTTTCGCAACACAACTGCGGACGATCACTATATGACTAAAGATATTATTTTATACCCAAAAAATGGCACATTCAGGCCTGTCGTTAGGGGGGGGAGGAAAAGTAGGATTCCTCCCAGGCCTGAACGTTTTAAAGAGCCCGAAAAAAAATAACTAATAATACGTAATGTATGAATACATATAAAAGAAGTAAAATTATTTTAAAATCAATTTAATTAAAAAACTAATATTGTTTAAAAATTTGTGTTTTTACTTTGTTACTTGAAATAGAAAAAGTATAAATATTTGAAATTTATTTGGTCTTGTGTGAGGTTGCGGGAAGGAGGGTGACCGTGGCTGCTGAAATCACCACTAATAGGGGCTCTTAAGCATTTTCCTCCCGGACCTGAACTTTTCTCTCTACGGCCCTGGGCACATTTCTGTGTGACGCAGCTTACCGAGCTTGACGATTGTCGATTATCAATTTGATAATAGGCTTATCATTCGGATGTCTAGTGAGCATCATTTATATCTATTTAGCAATGCTCGATTTTTTGTACAGAATTCTTAGCACATAACTATATGCTCACCGGAAAATACACAGTTGAATTTTTTGTCAAATGTCATTATTCGTTAAAATACTTGCACTACAATCTTTATTTGTATATAACCATTTTATAATCCCATCTTCTCGCTGTCGCCTAAATCGGTATTTATTTGTTTTGTATAGATTTAATTCTTTACCACGTTCTGATGGTTTTCCATAGTTTCAAAAAAAAAAAAAAAAACACTATACTATAACAACGGTTAACGCTATTATACTGCAATATTTAACAGAAATGACTTGTAACATACTACATTTGAAACGCTCAGTATTCCTACATTATCGAAGCATTATCTATAAACTTGGCAACATACGTCCGCAATTGTATTATTAAAAAGGTCACCCTGATAAGGACCGTCTGCAGTCGTGTACCTACCATCAAAATATGTATAAATAGCGTATATTCATAGGACAGTATGCCGACAAATACCCCTCTTTTATTTTAAAACAGTTTTATAATTATTTTTTCTATTTATTAGTTTATAGAATATCAGTTGAACTATCTACTACAAAGTCGTGTTAGAATTTCAAAATAAATTTATGATTTATTTTAAGCATTTAAACTTAACGTAATATCATAAGTTGTGAAAACGCAATCGCTATATTCCTCTATAAATATTATAGATTTAATTGTATTATCGTGCAGGAAAAACTAGCCTTTTACAGCGTATAAAATATAATATTAATAATGGACTGTGAAACTTAATTTTTCATAATTTTATTATGTCATCGAATATATTAATTAATGATTCATCCAAGTCAAACTCTGCAGTGTGGTATGGTATTGGTATGTATATGATTGTTATTAAATTTCCGATAAAAAATTCATAACTTAAAATGGTCAACGTCCAAGACACATATGTGTAATAAGCAGTATCTACTATTATATTATTATATTCTTGTTTGTATTTCTTCAACATGCAGCCGAAAGGAAAAAAATGTTACGAAATGCATATTCATGCGTTTCAATTTAGGTCTGTTATTATTATTATTTTTTTTTTTTTTTAAGCCGAGTGCATTATTTAAGTCTCACCGTATACAGT